GTCTTAGATTTGGATTTGGACTTGGGATTTGGTTTCAATCTAACATGACTCCAACTTTGCAGTCTTGTTAAATTGAAACCAAATCTCAACCTCCAAATCCAAATCCCAAACCCAAATCCTACCCAAATCCCAACCTGCTATACACCAAATCTCAAATCCAAATCCCAAAACCCAAATCTATAACAAATCCAATCCATTTCATATTAATTTATAAGACTTGGGATTCTTTTCTCCCTTCTGAGACTTTATTTTACAAAGCCTCGTCATATTTGGGTAATTTAAGACCAAATCCAAACCCAAATCCAAATCCAAATCCCAGTCTAGAACAAACCCAAATCTGTTTGTACCAAATCCCAAGGCTTTGGGTTTGTTGCACCCCTAGGTGCAGAATAAAGATCAACGAATGTGTTTAGAGTTCACTAATAAAAGCATCAACTTATATATTCCATAGGCAGGAGAACGGTTTAGTTCTAGAGTAGGTTGAACATTCTTGATAAGATCCTCATATGAAAGTTAAAAATGAGAGAAAATGAGTTTTTGAATGTTACTTGGATGAAGTGTCATCATTGTCAATTTACGGAAAAAAATGCAAATTTGAAGAAAGATAGGAATGCTTATGTTCATCGAAATATGATGTTCGGAAGAAATTTTATCGGGGAAAAGTTTGATGTGACGAAGCAGAAATGTTTCATAAGTATGTAGTTTTAACAGATTCTAGTTAATCTGACTCAGATTTTTTTCTTACAATCCTTCTTCGATTGTAACGAAGGGTCCTCACTTCATGCGATTGCTAGTGTATGATCCAATATTGACTTGTACCAAACGTAATATTTCCTCAAAAACATTTTCTAAATCTATTTGTTTCAGAAAACGTTATTATTAATCGCCAGAGGCAGTGAAAAAAATTGGCGTCTGGTCAAAAATGCGATGCGCTGCTCAACTTGATCAGTTTGATGAAAAGCGAAAACTGTTGGAGTCGACTCAAGCCTTGTGACTCCTTAACCTGTACTTATTACACACGCATGGGTAATAGATAAAGAATACGGTGACCTTATAACATCACATCATCTGTCAGAAGAAAAAGAAAATTAAATAATAAGAGAAAATGTTTACATTAAATAGAGCCTATCTAAGCCATTATCTGTCCTGACATTAAGTTACCCAGATCTTGTGGTTCTTCGGTCTATGTACAACGTTGGAATTCCACTGGCATAAAAAGAAGATGTTTTCAAGATCAGGGATCATTTCATCGACCTCCTCCACTCGAAATATCTCTGATTACTCAAATAACCTCAAACTACACTTTAACTAACATGTTCATTTGATATCAATTGAATTACTGCTGACATTTTGTTCAAGAAGTTGCAACGTTGGATCATTGACGTCGACAAGAAATCATCGCTATGTGTATGGCTTAGAAGACAATTTTATGTACTATGGGATTTCCAATAAAGCCAATATCTTGAAACATCTTCAATTAGTCATATTCATCATTTGCATTATTTAATCTCATTGGTACTCAAAGGATGGCTAAAATTTAACTACACTCATTATTCAAAGAGATGACGACATTATAAGATTGAATGAAACTAACATGACTTTTTCAGATGATATCCAACACATAACGGTCAAAAATATTTTCTTTGACAATTGAAAATTTTCTGTGGTTCATCATATTACAGATTTATTTTGTTTTGCTTTTTAAAAAGCATGTCAGACTGCAATACCTGCCCGAACTCATTTCTTTCATTTTATGCTAACAAAACTGATATTAAGTTCCATATCTCCGAAAACTCTCAAAAAATTATTATCTATTTATAGAAGTTCCTTTTCATGATTAAAAAAGTAGCTTAATTACTAAACTACAGACCCTGCAGTTTCAAATGTTCTTGCGAACAGAAAAGAACAGCAACTGGTTACAATGAAACTTCTTCGAGAATACTGGAATATGTGATCAAAAAAGTATAAACAGAGAAAAAACCCAACAACCTTTCTCACTTTTTCTACAAACAGTATATTTTTGAAATAGATGATGACGAAAATCTTTACAAAAGAGGCACTCAATAAACAATGATGTCATTTATGACAGATCAAATCTCGGCCTATTATTTCAATTTCGATTTTTTTGCGGGGAAGGAGACGTACTTATAGATAAATAATACTATATAAATTTTATTTCAACACGTTAATGTTAGTTCCAACAGTTGTCATCGACAGCAACTGGACACTTTTTGTATTAGAAGATATGTCCATAATAGAAAGTCTCTTTGAATGAGCTATTCTTTAGACACTAACGAATATTCTTTGCTATTTATTTCATTAATTAGAAAATTGTAACTATAATCAATATACTGAATGAAAAATGATTCTCGATTTCTATGATTCTGAAATGAAAAGCTATACAGAATAAAGCTAATATGATTTGTGTATCTTTCTAAGGCCGAAAAATTCTTCGCATTTATCTGTAAAATGTTTTTTAATTATAAGTAATTGAAAAAGATAAATCAAATAGAAGGTCCCCTAAGACACAATAGAATACCCAAGGCCATCGATTATGTGAGAGGAATATACAATGAAAAGCTATAATTTTTTTGTTATCAATCATTTTTTACTCGTTTCGTGTTAATAAAGAAGAAATAAATACATATTAAATTGAATTTGATTTGATCGATCATTAAGTAATTTTATTTGTTGTTTTTTACGCTCAATACTATAATTGATTTGTTCTTGTTATGTTTTTTCTCACACGAAAACCAAGAACTAGAAAATAAATGAATACTTTCATTATTAAATTGCTTTTGGTTTGACTTCTGTTGTACGATAAGTGTCTATACTAATCTAAATTGTATCAATATAGCTAAGAACTGGAACTGAGATTGATTTGATAAATTATTAATCAAATCGTACTCATTTCTGGCTCGAAGTACAATGTGCTATTCTTCTTGTAGTATTAACTTGTAAATAACAGTTAGAGTCCGGCTTTGCAAGAACATGAATAATTTCGTAGAAAAATTTTTCATTCTTGATAATTTCATGCTTATGATTGAGTGTTTGACATTTTCATGCAAGTTTCACTGTTACAATCATCTCAAGAATTAAGATTTTCTTGATATCCCTCAGTACATAGTTTATTTTGTTGGATGAATCATGTAGAGAAAAAGAAAAGAGATATGTTAAGGTTTAAAATGATTTATTGTGTTATTTATTACAATAAATTTACATGCACACAAATACAGATTGCTATCGGTCAATGTGAATAGAGAAGGTAGCAAAAGGACGGATCTTCTGAACATCAAGAGAATGACGAAGGCGAATAGTGATATATGTATTCAACAGATAGATTTGTTGAAAAAAAAAATTCTTTTTTATCAGTTGGAGGTTTTTAATGTAAAGCAAGACAAAAAAAATAATAGAAGACCCAAAAGAAAAAAGATATTATCACAGAACTTGTTATTGTCCATCCGATCAGCTATTAGCTTTCAATGTATCAGCAGATGATGAAGGAGCTAATGAATTAGGAGGAAATTGACGTTGTAAAATCGTAAGTACAGAAGAAACATCTTCACTTAGTTTTGTTTCTAATGTTACTAATCGTCTACATAATAAAACATAATGATATAATGAATTACATAGTTTGAAAAAAGACCAAAGATTATTTACTTAGTTAATTCTTGTAATCGATATTCAACACTGGATTGATACGGATCAAGTGATTGTAAATGATTTGTCTAAAAGAAATATTTATTTAAACAAAAAAAAAATGACTTTTTTGTTGTTACTAACCGATGGCATTAATTCATCAGCGCCTGCTATAAATGATGATCTACGAGGTCCAGCACTATATGAAGAGTGATGAGCTAAAATAAAATTTTATAATAAAACAGTTTACATAAAAACAAAAATATACCTTGAAAACCAGAAACACCACTAAAAGATTTTTCTCGACGATCACGACGTCGTGATGCTATTGTTCCAAATTCAAGATTAGCCGGAGTTATATCTTGACCAGCTAGTTGAGGATTAAATTCGAGTATACCTAAATGGAATATAATTCAAGATTAAGAAGAACGATACTAGAACGTAATAGTTTTCAAAATACATATTCTCCATCTGAAAGTGCTTATTTTTCTGCATAATACCAGCTGTTAAACTGAGTTTAGTATATCCAGAAGACATCATTGATTGTCCTAGGTGTTAAGCTGACATCTTATATCACCGATCATATTTCTTCTCATAAAAAAATAATTATTTGCACGTCATGTACTATTAAAACACGTGCAATTAAATTAATGATCAATTAGCTAAGGATGGATATCAAAAAAGCATTTAAAAACATAATATTTAATGATATACTTTAAGCAAGGATATGTTGTTTTGTTTATTATTTATTATTTTAAAATAGGTACACACACACACATTCCATCGTATTCACGTGCTTTGTACAACGAAAAAAAAAGATATGACGAAAATATGTGCATTGCGTCGTTAGTTTTTAGTGTGAGATGAATACTAAGACTAGCAAGATGATAAGAAGTTGTTTGTTTTCTTTTATTGTTAGACAATAAATATGATGAATGGTTGTGTTTGCATGTAATAGAAAAGTACAAAGTTGCTGACTATAGAAAATATATGAGGCCATATCTTGAAAGAAGAAAGATTCAACAAATAAGTACTCGTTTTTTTCTTTACTCGTTGGCGTACACTACGCAGGTCATTCACGTCAGACGATCTAACCGGCTGACTAATGTAGGAATGTCGATCTTTTTTTTCCTTTCTAATCTACGGAGATATATAAACAGTAGTAGAGGGGCGTATATATGTTTGTTTCCTTCATCACAAGTGATGAGATATCAACTCGCATATCTGATGTGCATTGTTCTCGGGCTATATTCTTAGATGCATGATCAGGAATGAGAAAGAGCATAATGTTTCTATTCTTCATGATTTTTTCCAGATTTGCTTATTTCTAAATACTATTTGGAAACATATTGACAAAAGCTATGTCAGACAATCAACAAGTGCAACCTACACCTGTTTCTGATGTTCAAGTTGACAACAAAGACAGTCATACACAACGTAAGTAATTAACTATGAACGTGTGTTGTGATACATCTATAAATGATTATTGTTATTCTTTTAATCAGAACATGACGTCAGTCAACAATTGCAACAGAATGCTGAACAACAAGGAACTGACACAAAACAGGATACAGAACAAAAAGGTAGCTGATTATTACTACTGTGATGTTTGTTTTATATTGTACTTTGTGTATTAGGTGCTGAATTGACAGAAACAGTAAATGAAAGTGCTAATACAACTCATGAAAAATCTAATGAAGTTAAAGATGCTGAACAAGCAGCAAACGATGATGTAAAACAAGTCGCTAACGATACTCAAGCAGCTGGTACGTTGTTTAAATAATCAATTAACTAGATTTATTGTTTCTTTTAACGATCAAAATTAATTATTCCTTCAAAAAGGTTATCAACTTTCATTAGGAAGTATTTTCTATGAGGAAAAAAAATGTAATTTATAAATTGCCCTAGGGAAAGTTTTTCTTTGATCAAACAGTTCTCGGAGGACGAATATTTATTTTCAATGTGCATAAATATGTGAAACAACATTGTATTACTCAGATTTTTGCTACAAGAAAAACATAATCTTACTATTTTCTTTAGCTGCTCAATCAACTGATGAAGCCAAAGATGCTGTAGAGACAAAGGTCGAACAAAGAACAGAAGCTAATACGCAATCAACTGATGATGCTTCAAAGAAACCCGATGAAGTGAAAGATGTTTCACAAGAAACTGGAACTCAATTAAGTGGCGATGCTTCGAACAAAACTGAAGAATTTAAAGATACAACAGAAAAGAAAGTTGATGAAGTAAAAGAAACTCCTCAAGAAAAAGTCGATCAAGAGAAACAAACTGATACTCCATCAGTTGATAATGCATCTAAAGAAAGCGATGAAGCGAAAACTACTATTGTTGAATCAGCTATTCATGTTAAAGATGCAGTAGTTGAAAAAGTACAAGAACTTGGACATGCTGTATTTGAAAAAAAATCTATCCGTATCGTCTGTTTGAACTTAGATAAACTTTTTAGGTCGTCGAAACGGCACAAGCCATTCCAGCTACAGTTGCTGATGCTGCAAGTTCAGTTGGTGAAAAAGTTGTTAGTGCTGTACAATCAGTTAGTTTCTTTATGAGGAAAAAAAAACATATTTTATATTGTTTTTTTGTATTTCATAGACTGTAGAAAAAGTTGCTGAAGTCGGTGCAGCTGTTGTTCATTCAGCACAAGAAGCTATTCATAGGTAATTTTCAGTTGACAAATGTTTTCTATTTAATTCTATGTGTTCATTTAGTGTTACTGGAGTAGCAAATGATGCCAAAGAGACAGGTAAGTTTCGTTCGATTAAAAAAGATTTATAAAATGTTTTTTTTTCCTATAGCAAGTGAAGCACTTGATCAAGCTCAAGACAAAGGTAAAACAAAAATCTAATTATTTTGAAACTATAAAAAATTATTGTGTATTAAATAGCTACCGAATTGAAAGAGCAAACATCTGAAAAAGTTGATACATTAGCATCTGAAACAAAAGAGAAAGCCGAAGGTAAATATCTTAAATCTTCTCAAAAATGATCTGTCTTATTTATAATTTCATTTGATTAGAAGTTAAACAAGATGTACAAGAGACAGGTAAGATTTTTATTTAGATTTTTTTAAAGTTTTTCATTTTGAAATTTCAGCCGGTGAATTAAAAGAAGCAGCATCTGAAAAAGTCGACGAAGCAAAAGAGAAAGCTAGTGAAGTAACTTCAGAAGTACAACAAGCAGCCGCAGGTAAATATATTCGAATTCAAAATGAAATTTTAATTTATTTTTGTTTTCATTCAATTAGAAGTCAAGCAAGATGCTCAAGAAGCAGGTAAAATTTTAATTTAGATTTTCAAAGTTTTCTTATTTTTCTAATATTTAGCCGGTGCATTAAAAGAGACAGCCTCTGAGAAAGTTGAGGACGTAAAAGAGAAGGCTGGTGAATTAACATCTGAGGTAAAACAAACGAGCGAAGGTAAAGTTCGTAGATTTTTACAAGATGATTTGTCTAAGTTATGTTTTTATTTGAATAGAAGTTAAACAAGAAGTTCAAGAAACAGGTAGAATTTTCATTTAGTCTTTACAAATGTTTCTATTTTGAATATTTAGCTGGTGAATTGAAAGAAGCAGCAACTAACAAAGTCGAAGAAGCAAAGGATAAAGCTGAAGAATTAGCTGCTAATATTAAAGAAAAAGGTCAAGGTAGAGTATTACCATTTTAAAAAGACTTGTCCTAATTTTTTAATTTCATATTATTAGAAGTCGAACATCAGGGTGAACAAAAAGGTTTGATTAATCTTTGTTAGAAAAAAAAAAGTTTCAAAATAACATTGTAACTTTTGTAGTTGAAGAAGCAAAAGAAACAGTAGTTGAAAAAGTCGATGAAGCAAAAGATAAAGCTGAAGAAGTCACTGCTGATATTAAAGAGAAAGGCGAAGGTAAAGTTATTCTTTATGTAAAAAATGACTCAAATGTATTTTTTGTTTCTTCAAAAATAGAAGTCAAAAATGACCTTCAACAAAAAGGTATATTTATTTAAAATGAAACGTTCTTTAAAGAACTTTCTTTTTGTTTTTCTTTTAGTTGCTGATGTTCCAACATCAACCAATGAAAGCACACCTACCAACAATACTGAATGAAAATAAAACAACAAAACTCTATCATATCTTTGCTTGTTTACATGCTTTTTTTAATTTTAACTCGTTGTATACATTATCCTTTCTTGCTGTGCGTGTGTGGGTTTATTTATTTAACCTATAGTGTTGCTTCAAAATGTTACAAAAACACTAGCGCGTACACTATACGGAATAAATAAAAATATTACCGAGTATATATATTGAATTTATCATGAGTCTTCATAAAAATATTATTTTCGGTCAAATAAGACATATGCGACTCAATAAAAAATAGATATTCAATTACATTCACCATTAGTTCGGAATTCTACCACGAATTTGAATTAGAAATTATCTATGATTGCTAATCTGACAGACTATTCATGTCATAGTTTCATGTTTGTTTGTTTGTTTGTCTATCTTATTTATAGTAATAAGATTTATTTTACCTGTCCCACTAGGATATTCGTCAAAATAAGATTGATGTGGAGCCATTATCGATATATTATCATCGTCTGTTTTCGTAAAACATGCACCTGACATATATAGAAAATACATATTATAATAAATTCTGTTGTTCTTATAACAATCAATACTGACTTCCTCGATAATTGTTTGGATTTGGTAAATATTTTGATCGACATTCATTTGATTTTGAAACGAGATCTTCCTTTAAAAGAAAAAGACGTAATTTCTATATATACTTTCTTTTTGTTATTGATAAGATAAACCTACATCACGTAATGTCAGAGTAATTTTTAAATTGTGACAAAAACTTTGTGCGAACTCAGGATACATATCGATAACTTCAAGTAAGTCATCGCGTAATATTTTATGTAAATCACAATATGTTAATGCACGAACATTATAGGCAGATTTTCCTGGTTCATTATATAATACAGGATTTTCTCCAAGAATATCATCTTTACCTAAACAAAAAATAGTCTTAAGAAAAAAACGAAAATATTATTTCTATGAACATACTAAGAATAGCAACGACATTGTCGTCTTTTAAGATTTCAATTGAACCACGTGAAATAAAATACAATGATGTTAAAATGTCACCACGATGTGTTATTATATCACCAGGTGGTGCATGAGTTGTTTTTAGCTTCATTGAAAATGTACGCAAGCAACCTTCACTAGCATCTAAAAGTAATAAAATTAATATTGAAAAAAAAATCAAATTTATATCAAACCTTTAAATGCAGGACAATTTTTAAGTAGTACACTATTCAAATGTAAACATATATCAGCTTGTAAACATTCCGGAAAACCTTTCAGCACCATATTCATGTCAATACCACTATATTTGTAAAAATAAATAGCTATAACAAGATTCGAAAAAAGAAACTACGTAATTTACTTTGTATAATTCCACGCATGATTAAAATAATCTTCAAGTCGTTGTCGAAGTGGATTTGGTATTTGATGAAAACGAATAAATTCTTTTACTCTATTGATATAATGATACATACATATATATGTACCAGTCATTATTATCATATGTATATATATACCTTAACATTTGTATTTGATAACGTGCTGTACCTGAATATAATCTTTGAATAATAGCACTAACGTTACCAAAAATACTGGCATACATTAAAGCTATAAAATACAATAAATCCAAATTACATGACAATAATCTATATAATATATTTAATTATTTATGTACATATAATCTATGTCAATCACATGCATTTTAAAAAAGAAAACATCATGCACTCTTCCTCACATCCGATTAACATAACAAATATGGAAAATATCTTTTCCAGATTTGTATTAGGACTGACCTATGTTAATGTATAAAAAGAATTAAAACAAAACTTATTTATTCTTTTTTTTTTGCTGTATTCGATCTTACATTGCCAAATCCGACTGATGTAAGAGATGAAAATGTAAAATAAAGTGCTGTAATATATCTTGAACGAAGATTAGGTCCACCAAAACAAGCTTTTGAATTTATCGTTGTTGATACTGTTTCATTTGTAGATATTATTGGTGTACAATCATAGGGTTGACCTGATGTACGTGCTAATTCATCAAGCCATGTTATACGTAATCCTAAAAAAGAATAAGCGAAGCGGACACAAAAAGACAACACAACATCGAAAGACAATAGATATTTAGACTTGAACGAGACAAAACATATAAAACGATGAAAAAAAAAATACAACTCACAGCCTACGAGCATAATTATTATTGAAAAACCCTTTTCACTATTTGTATTTGGACTAGAGAAAGAAAATACTTTGAAGAAAAGAATATATTTTGAAAGAGACTAAGCGAACCTCACGTTGCCAAAACCGACTGAAGTTAGAGAAGAAAAAGTAAAATATAGAGCTGTTATATATTTCGATGTTTTCGTCGGACCAGATGTTAGATCCGAATCATTATAATACTGATGTGTATGATTAGCTAATTCAGCTAACCAACCAATCGTTCTTTCAGTACCTAATTAAAATAAGGAAATTCTCGACTCATAAGTCATCATACAAGTTCATTTTTTAATATAACAAAGAAGAAAAACAAATGTATTATTATTTACCATGAGTATTTCGTTCAAGACGACCAATAGCATACCATATACAAGCAAGCCAATGTGCAATAAGGGCAAATGTAGCAGTTAATAAAATTAAAACTCCAATTCCATATTCAGAATAACGATCTAATTTTCTTGCTATGCGTACTAATCTTAATAAACGTGCAGTTTTTAATAAACCCATTAATACTGTTGATTCACCACCACCTTTTGTTTGTATTAATGAAAATAAAATATCAAATGGTATAGCTGCTGTTACATCAATTAGAAACCATCCTTTTAAATAATGTTTAGCAATTTTACTTGCACGTGTTACTAATTCTTCATTATGTTTAACGTATGTTGTACGTAAATTTACCAATAAATCAATTATAAACATAACATCAACAATAAGTTCAATGACACTCAATGCACGTGATGGACGTGAACGTTGTTTATTTGGTCCATCTTCGTGCATGAGAAAAGCAGCTGTATATGGTGTAACAATAGCTGTATAAATAACAAGTAATAATATTAACCAGTCCCATGCTGCTTTAAATGGAGAATAGTGAAGAATAATTGTACGCGGTATACGACGACTATCAGGTAAACGAAAATCAGGTACGGTATCTTCACCTAATGATAAGATTTGGGCTATTTGACGTGGAATATTTGGTAAACATGAACGTTTTACTTTTGAATCTTTTGTTTCTTGTTTAATAACAGTTTCTAAAAACAAATCGATATTTGTTTTTGTTTTATTCGTAAAGAATATTTTTTTTTATAATGATTAATTTACCAGCTATATTACTGATACTTTGAGATTTAGCTCTCATTAATTCAACATCACTATTATTTGTATTCCAAGGATTACTATCAGGTTTTAATAAATTATTTGAACTTATTGATGATTGTTGGCTTATTTTATAATCAGCAGGAAAAGTTTTTGTTGTTGCTGGAATTGTTTCATCCAAATGAATTGTTGTCGTATTTTTGTGATTCAAAGCTATTTAATAAATAAAATTAAGAAATATAAAAAAAAAAAAACTTTGCTATCCATTTTTAGTATATTTCCCATGAGTGTAAAACTTTCATTTATTTTATTAGACAGATCGAAGTCTTTATTTCAAAAATGACGGAGAACTATTATTGATGAAAAATATGATTGTCACATACACTATTTCTAGTATAGCATTGAGTTCGAAATGTTCAAACTGTCTATGACATGACAGGTATTCAATCGAGACAATAGAGTATAGATACTGGAATACAATATAATTTTCAGAAATGAGAACTCATTAAATACTGAAAAACTCAATAAGTACAAAAGAAAGAAAACTTGAATCTAATCAATTAATGGTTCTCATCAGAAAGATTGTTTCACACATAATATATACATGAGAAGAATATTTGCTCATTATAAAATATGAAGCAAGTTGTTTTTCTTTTGTCTTCGTTTCAATATCTTATTTTTATGTCATATGTAGTCAGAAACAAAATAAAAAAAACATTGACAAGTCATTAAAGAAATTAATTTTTACCTGTGTAACCGCTTGTATCAGGCGATGATACAGAACCTTCAAAATCACTTCCATCTCCTGGTGTTAAATCATGTGTTAGAGACGGCTTATTTTTCCCTAAAGAACTAAACATTTGTAACCATGAACGTTTACGTACACCATCTATACATAATAATTGAAAAAAAAAGTAAAAAAGTTTGAATAAATATCTACATACTCGTTGGGCTAATTGAATATTCGTGAATTTTAGCTAAAATATTAGCAAATAAGAATAAAATAATTAATTTTTGCTACGAAAAAGAAAAAGAAAATCACATGATACATACGTATTCGTCGTGGACGATCACGATCAGTGCTTTCAGTAAATTCAAGTATAAATAGAATTATATCGCATGATTCATTTTTCACCGGTGCAATAAGAACCGAACATCGAAATTTAATGCCTATAATAAAAAACAAAAATTTACGGAAATGTATTTCCGTTTTTTTTTGCAACTACAGTAATTAACATACCAGTATTCTTATATAAAATAATATCGACTTCTTTTTCATCACTCCCTTGTAATGCATGTCGAATTTGTTTAATAGATTTTTCATTTGTTTCATTACCATATAAAAATTCACATGCACAAGATTTTTGTAATATATCTGAACGTGAATAACCAGTTAATTCGCAAAATGCATCATTACAATAAATTATTGGTTTATTAACCAATTGAGCATTAGATATAAGAAAACATCGGTCTAATTAATGATGTAAAGATGTAATATATTATTTTATAATCAAAAAAATTAACATACTTTGTGAGTCAAATTTACGAATAATTGTATCGATAAATGTATTTTGAGGAGCCGAAACATGACCCCGTTTCATCGGCATTTTTAACGGAAGCTCATAAAAACGTTGTCATCATCTTCAAGAAAGAACGGGAAAACAAAATATGCTCGTCATTTGAGTCTGGGACAATACAGAAACAAACAGCACAGGAAAAGTGTGGCTGTATGTATATATATGTGTGTGTGTCTAGTGGCGTAAAAGAGAAATAGCTTAAGACAACCGGAAATGTTTGACGTCAGCACGACGATACAGAACATTGCGTCATTCGAACACCACTAAAAGTAGCGATAGAATCAAGGCCACTTATTAGGTATATGTATATCTCGTGTCAAGCTTTCTCTCTCTCTCTCTAGAGGAAAAAAATGAAAGAAAACGAAAGAATTACATGCCCTGAGTATCTATTTTAATCAGATGTTGATACAATGCATATGATATGTCTTCACTAGGTTTATAATTGTCATAAATTTATGTTCTTCTATGACTGAGATCAACAAAAAAAAATTCAACGCATATTTCATATGTCAATGTAGAAACAAGAAACGTAGTTGATAATCTTTGAATAGGGATAAAAAATGAGTAAAACTATAGGTTATGATTTTAAAACCTATTAAGGTCATAGGATTATTCAAGAAACAGAAAATAAAGAAAAGATACTTAGATATTGTTGACTTACTTTCTATAATAATTAATTCATACGATGGAAATAATGATATAAAAACAGTAAAGAAAAGAAGTCATTTCAACGGTGTAAATACAACAAATGAATGAAACTCTTCATAACATTTTTTTTCGCTGTTTCTTTCTATAGCTTGCGGAAATCTTAGAGAAGTCATGCATGGACCATAGTATTCCATTATCGACTACGACTACTTCTGCATCATTGCTAGCATTATGATTGAAAAAAAAGAACTTTTTCTTCTTGTTTTCTTTTTTTTTTTTTATATCCGAGCACATGATCGGAAGACTCACTCGGGAAGAAAGAAACTGACGGTTTGCCTTTTAAAAGAATGTTCTTTGCTTTCTCTTTATCTCGAATTTTCTATCACTTTTCTTTTGTTACTTATTCTCATTAAAGTTTGTTTCATTTATTCTTGCTTACAAAATCACATAGATAAATATATGTTTACCGATTGTGTTGTGACAATAGATCATATATCTATATAGACATATATGTGTCGTTTTTATAAATGACACTGCATATAGTTGCGATCTATGAATGTCGGAACATTATAATTTCAATAGCATATGCTGTTATACGGTGTGCTGACGTCAAAATGCCGAATGATCAATTAGTTATGTCACATTTAATATGGACGAAATGAAATGATTTCGTTAAGAATAATTGACTAATAATTAGAAACCATTTGATCGGGTATTAGATAGACGAATAAACAGGTCATTGTTTCATCCTAGATATACGATATTCCAATACAATAGTCAACAATAATCAGAGGAATAGAGATTATTGGCCTTATCACTACGATAAAAAAAAAGAATTGGCAAAGAAGTATTGGTTCCTACCGAGTACATACTTCTCTAAATGTAAAAAAAAAAGACGGGCGAACGAGAAAAGAAGATCTTTCCTTTTCTCTGTCTATTATTGTCTTCTTATTTGGTTGTATATAAAGGGCGTAAATGGGCTAAAGATGAGCTACTAGAACAGAGAATATATGAAGAACAAGAAAAGAAACAGTTTCTTTATAAGAAAAAAGACCGAAACACATGCACCAGATGTAATTGACGTTCGGGAATAGGATGTGTGTAGATCAATAAACATTCGATTAAAAAATACAGCAACAAAAAATAATCACAAGAAAACGATATTTTAATCATATAAAAAGTTCATATGATGCGCTTTTTTTTCTTAATCAGTGAAGCATTTAACGAATTGAAGTGATTAATAACGTTATGCCCATATTATTGGTATTATATCTGATGCATATACAAATGTAATTCTAAACGACAGGGAAAAAAAGAGCTTGAATACCAAATAATTATTTTGTTAGATAACACGTTCACCGGAAGTTTCTTCATACAATATACATGTAAAATACCAATCAGAATTCATTTATTTGGAATAAAACATTACGAAGAACTATTACACAAAAAAAAAGTGTCATTTAAGCCTAGAAATCAAAATCAAATATTGTACTCACTGATCTCTGTACATATATAATTATGAGTTTTGTTAGTAGAATACATTAACATCTCGCTCGAGGAAACTGTTCTGTTCCCGGCGGAATATTCAATGTTTACGTTTTTTGTAGTATTATTATATAGGTTTAAATGCCTACTATATTTGTGTGGCATGTTATTGCCTACTTGTTACATAAAAACAAATTGATACTACATTATGTTTTTCTCCTTGTTTTCTTTTGTCAAAAGTCGAATTCTCAAAGGAAAGCCACTGAAATTTTTTCCTCATTTTTTTTCCAACACAGTACACCCAATTGGGGATGACACTTTTTCTCATTATCTACACCAGTTTGACTCTTACTGAAGAATAGAAACAATAGTTGTAAAATAAAATATCGTCTATTCAGATTTATACAATAATAAAGCTTCGGATATCCAAGAAATAAGCTACTAAAAACTAATGAAATATCTCTACCATATTTTGACAAAATAAATTAATTTTTTTTTTTCATGATGAAAGAAGAAAGTTACAAGGTTTCATTGATAAATTACCCGTTTATTGACATACTTCAAATCTAGTATTATCTACATGATATTCCAAAAGTCAGCGAAAAAAGTTGACGTCAATATTTCATAAACAGCTCAAAGGATTTATATATTTAGTCTAAATAATATTCTATACATTATTTGAAATGTTGTTTGTGTCTGTTTTTTATAAACATTATAATAGAAATAGTTTTGTTAATTGCCAAATTTGACATCTACGATAACAAAAGGAAAAGTGCAAGTGGACTTTAGCATACAAATGTCACGGACAGGCTCTATTAGATATGCTTTACAATGTTTTTGCGAAATTAGTATAGTTGTTAATAGACAATAATATGAAAAAGACCTGTAAAAAACAGAAAAGAAAAAATCAACAGAATGACTGAATATCTTCCAAAGAAGCCATATGAAGTGCAATTTGTTCAACGATTTCACGAAGAACATTGACAAGATCAGGTTGAAATGATGTCAAGTTGATACAATTATTGAAAACTATCAACAAGCAAAAGAAGTCATTTTTTTGCAGATGAAGCCTCTTTTTATTTTGATTGTTTATTGGCAAATATATAGTGAATATCTTTGTGAATAAGACATATATATATATATATATAATATGCTTGAATTCAAAATAAGAATAGATAACGAGAGTAGATTAGTTTTTTGAACATTCATTCTAAATCAAATTATATGAAATGAAATTACTCGAAATATACAAGAGATGTTTGTGTGAACTTTCTTCAGAGACTTGTAGAACACTCTATACTTCAAACTAAAAGTTGTTTTTTTTCTAAATAATTGCATCTGTAATCTATCGAGAGAAACGCATGGATCTGGAATTATTTTGTTTTGATATATACGGTTTTGTAGATCTTCTTGCGTTAATTATTTCCATAGAAAATTTTTCCTATTTTCATTAGCAAATCAAGGTACTACGGTTAAAGTGCTCTTGAACTTCAAAACAGTTTTATATTTTTTCAATCTTTTTGAGTCTAACATTGTCATTGTAGATGAGAATAGAAAATTCTTTTGACTCAAATGATCAGTGAAAAAATTTTACAATATACAAATAATTAAAAAGTATTCGAGATATCTTCGTATTTTTATAGTTGACTATCTATGTAAGTACTCTATCAAAAGTTACCTGTAGTTGTACAAGTTTTTCTAGAATTTTCTGCATATAAACATCAGAGAGATTTTTTTGAAGACTCAAAGAAGCCAGATAGACTAGTGAAAACTTAAAAATTGCAAATAAATAATTTTAAAAAAATCGAAAAAATTTAAGAATATATCAATTTGACTAATGTTACAAAAGTCTGAAATCTATCGTTTATCTTTACAAGACTAAATTTTTCGCTCATGAATAATAACTTGAAACTCATGAGATCAAAATACAATGGAGACATATTTTTTTTTGGTAGGCTATTTCTGAGATACTCAGTAGAATTTTCTGTCAACAACAGAAGTTCAGATTATTTTTCATTCTTGATTCTTTAATAATATCTTTGCGTTCGTTCGAAATGTTTCAGATATTATCATAATTTCATCAATCTACGCTGATAACTTCATTACTATATTTATTAGTTTTCCGATTTAGGTCAATAATTCGATAAATGAATCAAATAAATCATTCAAAAACTTGATATGATTTGCATTTACATAAAAGATTAGTAAAATTTACTTATCTTTATTTAACACAAAGACATTGAATAAGAAAAAGTTTGATTTTAAAATTGATATATAGTCTTATTTTTACAATTAAATAATGTAAATAAACATATTTTATATTTATCAGAAAAACGCATATTTGTTGGACATTTTATGGAACTAACAAAACGTTTATCTTTACGTTCATAATAAGACGAACATTCTTGTATTTGATTTCCATAAAGACCATTTTCTTTATGACGATAACTTGGTGTTAGCCAACAGGGTCTTTTATCTATTGAATTATATATTTGTGGATGACGATAATCGCCTAAATATTACTTAAATAAAAACTTTGTTATTGTCCACAACATTCTTAGAAGCATCTTTTGGTTCAAATCGTTTATCACATTGTACTTGTGAATAATGTTTACATTCTTTTGCTTGTAAATCAAATAAAAAAAGATATGAGCATGAATAATAATATGTTTTATTTGATATTGTCAATAATTGAATAGAAAACCAAGCACCATTTTCATTATTTTCTGTTATTTTATTTAAATAACATTCATTATAAAAAAAGATTTTTCACTATAACAACGTTGTCGATATGAACTAAATATTGGTTCAGATTAATTTTCACATTGTAAAGTTTTATTAAGTGTTTTGTTAAAACAAAAATAATATGAACAACAATTCAAACTTGTATAATTAGTATCAAAACCATTCGATTTATTATTACAAATATCGATCATACATATTGAATTTAAAATAAATCCCAATAAAGCAAGACTAACGATGGTGAATGGACTAGTAGACATTATTATTTAATAATAGAATAGAAGTTTATTCGATTTATTTGTCTATAAACAAATGATTCTCTTGTTGACAATTGTAAATAATATCTAGAAATCATAACAGACATAGTCGCTCGTTGTAGGCAAAAGAAAAGAAAAGTTAGTCAAGTAAAAGAATTGTACTATATTAAAGTGCCAAAGGTCATTGTACTAGCAATAAACACTATCGAAAATATTATTGTGAAAAATTAATTTTATTATCCAATTAATTAATGTCATAGTATATTAGAAATTTATTTTCATAGTTTCATAATGATCAGACATTTGTGTTTTCCCTTTCATAGTCGTGTTTTGGTTTTGCTCTTTAAAAGAAGCACAAAATTTTTAACTAACAAACACATTAATGTTATACGCCATGTGAGCTATATTATAAATAATTCATATTATTTAATATGAATTATTTATGAAATAATCAATTATTCTTTTTTTGCTTGAAAATGATAAAAAAATAATTTAGTTGACTAATCATATGTAAAGTTTTACTTGTTTTTAAAATATTATATTTAATTATTGAGATTTCTATTGTGTATTCAAATATATCCTGATCAAAGTATATCATTTTTTTGAATTCTACAAAGGCATTATGACCAATAGAGCAAGACAAAAATGCAAAAAGATCAACTTGTTTTCTATAGAATGAGTTTTGTAGAATATAAAGCCTAACAACTGAATAGTTTTGTTGAAATTCAATTGAAATGCATAGAAATAAAGTGAGATAAAAATAAATACTTCGGTTTGTTCTTACGAATGCCCTGATAATGTCTGTGATGCGTACAAGCATATGTCAAAAGTTGTTATTTTCATTTGGGTACTTGGCTCTAACTAGATTATTACTTAGTTTGACTTCTGTCAATTAAACCAAGATCAAACGAAACAAAAGCTATGTACGCAACGACAATGACTGATGGCTTTTATTTGTCGTTGAATACTTTGAAATTTTATTTTTTATGTAATAGGTATTATAAATCATTATATTGAATATTTATAGTTTTACTCTTTATTTTTTATCGTTCAAATTCATATTAATTGAATCAGATAGTATCAATATTACTTAATGCAATTATTGCCAGACACTTTTTTGCATTGAGAGTCTTGCTAATTGATTTCAATATCAATCTGACATTCTTTCCATTGGTTTTTTTAATTCGCTGAATTAATTAAAATCATTTTTTATCTAAAGATGAACAGTTTTCATATAGATTGTTATCATCTTAAGCTAGTACTAATGAGTAAGTTAGATCTATGCAGATCATAGACTATTCTCATTTCTTTAGATATTAGTTTAGTTTGTCTAAAATCGATATTCATCACTTAAGTATCATTATGAATACTCATTTTGTTATTTATATATTTACCACTTTTTGATTTTTTTCCTATATATTGTTATAATGATTTCTAATATAAGTGATTGTTGGTTGGAATTGGAAATATAGACTCCACTGATTGATATGTGGTGTTTAATAATCAATATAACAGATCTATTGTGATTTATATGTATTTGAGTTATTCGAAAAAGAAAAATATGTAAAATAAATAAGCAAACATATTTTATATGAATTGTTTAATATTTAATTTTTACTGTAGGGAATATTTGACTTTTTTTAAATGATACTTATTCAATATCAACCATATTTAAAAAAAATAATGAATATTTAGATACATTCACTCTCGTATTGATCCATTGTATTACATTTTTTTCTATTGTCAAGTCAATTATATCATTGACAAATTTTAGAATCCGACAAGAAAATGATTCAATATCGAAAGAAATCTATTTGAAGTCAAGTACTTGTTTTTCATCTATTGTTCAGTTTTCTATGGCTCGTGCTGTAAATTAACGTTGAAAGAATCTGTAAAAACATAATATTATTTTCAATAGTTTTAGAACTTTATAGACTAAAAAATACTCATTCTGTTTTAACATATATTTAAAAGACAAAAAAAAATGGTTAAACTGTTAACATGAAGAATTACTAAAGCACAAAAATCTTCCATAAATATCGGCATAAATTTACTTCAATTACGATCAATTATAATTATTCCTGATTTAATGAATAATATTTATAATAAGACATAAAAACATTATAAACAACTAAAACTGATATTGCTACAAAAGCAACGGCAAATAAAAAATATTCTTGTGGTTTTAATTTTATTGAACGTGGTGGTTCTCTTTCATTACGTTGTCGTAGAGGTGGATATTTTTCGTGACATTTTGGACCTTGAATTTGTTTAGATGCATGTTTCTTATCAGATGCTGTGCCATATGTTGCAAGAATCGAATTAAGACGCAACCTAGATATTCAAAAAAAACAACAAGCACGAGTTTTTCTATAGAATCTTCCTTTTCCTTTCACATTCATTCAGCAACATAATTGCTATAATCAATTCACATAGCGTGTGTATTCATATCATTCCAGCATGCGAACAATACTGCACAACATCAAAACTTAGACTCACATGTTTATGTAATTTAAATTCCTCAATAAGAAAAACTCAATCTAAAAACTAAAATAATTAAGTCCAATTTTGTTTTAAGAAACCAAATGATATTCAAGAAATGTAGTTTATTGTTCAGAATGAATATGACACACACATACAAGTTTAAGTCTCAAGAATCCTTATTCTTTTTCATCAATAGTTAATCCAATTAGTAGAATAAAGAGAAAAATGAAAAAAAAAACAAATTTTAGAACAAAGAAACTGAAAATAATCACTTATACGTATATTAATGAAGAGAAGAATAATGTACAATTTAAGGATAATGATCTTGATTAGTAAGAGCAAAAGGAAAAACTAAATTATGTTTGTACATATAGATACAAAAAAAATGAACCAAAGAAACTTATGCGGAATATCAATGAAGATAGGAAAACTAGTCAAAATCTTCATTGTAATCCTCGGCTAATAACTCGATGACTTTGTTTAAGTCATTGTTATTTTCTGCAAGTAAACGTTGATTTTTTTCACGATCACCAAAACCCATTTCAATTAATATTTCCATTGGATCATTTGATAAACTTAAATTTCTATTCGTTGTTTCACTATAATCAACATGTTCAAAAAAATCATCAACACTTGAATTTCTTGTATTGATCAATGTTCGTTCTGGTTGTTGATTTTGTCGTTGTTGTTGAGCAGATTGAGTTGTCTAAATAAATTAGATGTTTTACTATTAAATAAAATACAATATCTAACCTCATCAGTTGCTTGTAATGTATTAAAAATTGCTTTAGCTGTTGAACCTGCTTGTTTAGCAACACTGAATATATTTGTTACAACTGAATCAACAAAATCTATTGAGTGGCTAAAATAAAAAGAAAAGAATATGATTATTCATTTCAAAAGTATTCAAATTCATAATGGACTTGTTGCTTTAACAGTCTGTTTCTTAAAATCAGACGACACTACAGCCCATTGGGTTCAGGTCCGAAACGAACCTGATGGACTCTAGACGAACTATCTGATTTTCAATCTAACGATTTAGCGTTTCAAAAATATAAATTTACTTTAATCGTGGTGATTGTTGACGTTCTTGATTATTATTTGTAGAGGTAAGTGGTGGTATTTCAATTAATAATGTTTCATGTGGTTTGGTTAATATTGGCGATGGTGAACGCACAAAAGTTGAAAGGCTATCACTATCACTCGAAGATGGATGTGTCAATATATCAACTAATGGTTCCGATTGTGTATCTGTTGAATTTGAACGAGGTAAAATAAAGCTTGACTAATAAAATAAAACATAGTAGGATTATTAATAAATGGATTATATACTTACACGAAGTGAACTATCGCTTGATGTTAATTGATAGGGTTTTGATAAATCGAAACAAGCTGGTAATGGTACATTAACAACTTCAAAAGCTTCTTGTAATGTATTATTGGTCAATTCTAAAAGATAAAGAAAGGACATTTATTCTGTACAAAATGTTTCTTCAAATTTTTTCTTTTTGAGATAGAAAAAAAAACCAACGAAGATAACATCTGCCATTGTTAATTTTGGCATGAAAAAGTGGAACCAAAAAAAAAACATATTTCAAAAGAAATATGGGTGCGCTACATGTTCATGACCTATTCTACTGATCCTCTTATTTATAAATACATACTAGTTACTGTTGAAGAGCCAACTTCTATTGAACACCAAATCATTGGACCAAATGTTTGATGACGATAAGATAAAATCCATTTACTTTCATAAGTGCCTGGCTCATTAGCACATATATAATCAACAGTTATAACTGCTCGATCATGCGGTGCAGTAACAGGAATAATAGGTTGCTTAACAACTTTAATACCATCAGCTAAATTGATTAGTTGTATATCTTGACTTGACCATGGCATAGAGCCATCGTTCAGAAGTATCCAACCTTTACGAAATACTTGTCCTGGTTGCATAGATGTTCCATCAGGAGTATTTTCATCAGCGACAAAACGTGCCGAATATGGGCTAGAAAAACAAAAATTTTATAGATTCTATAATAATGTCGATCGGGTCATTTAGAATATAAAAATGAGTAATATTGGATGAACGAGATCAATCGTTTTTGGTTCCAGTTCCAATCCTGTCGAAATCATTTTGTCTACTGTACGTTGTAACGTAATCAACATACTATCGGATAAGTAATCCGAGACAAACAGTTGTTAGTGACTTTTTCTGGTGATTTCATGCCTGATGGTACTGTGGCTTTGACACAATGCGTTGTGGATGCCTGTCGAACAATGTATGTACTTAATCATAGCGATGCTCGCTTTTTTTTGCTACTGATCAGTTTCAAGTTTTTCAAACATTGAATAACTTACGAAAAGAATTTTAAGAAGACAGATATCTTTAATAGAGAATTCGAATATAAAATATATTGGATACTACAATAATCGATGCATCTGAATATCATTTCTTGAAAAAAAACGATATTTGTTTTTTTATTTTAATAATCTACTTCGAGTTCAAAAGAAAAATAGTC